TACAGTCAAACTGGTGTGGTTTTTGCGCATGAAAATGAATGCAGGGGTACGAAGAGGACCGGCGGTGAAGAAAAAAAGGAAAAGATTTCGTGAAAACGCTAAGATCAAGGTGTCATTCGTTATCGTAATTTGGCTGTACTTAGAAAATAAGACAATGAGGAGAAACGAGAGAGCGCACTCCGGGAGAGCACAACGGATGGAAGAGTGCAGACACCCGCACTATGCGAAAGGGGAAAAATGGAAGTGGGGAAGCAGGCACTGCTGTGAAGGCCCTAACGCCCTTATCGCGCCCTTTTTAGTTAGGCAAACGGGACATCTGCGCGACCCTAGTGCACCTTTATCCTATCTTATCTGGATCGGTCCACCAAAACTACGTGAGGTGTGTATAGTCATCAGCTCATTCTCCTCTGGCCTTCTCCTTTTGTTTTCATCATCTTGACATTCAGTTCATTCGATTCTCGTTTCATCTTCAGTGCTAAAAAACCCCTTCCAGGGGAGGGCCTACAGGTGAGGACATGAATATTTCGACATTATCCTACTGAGATAAAGCCAGTCTCCGCGTGGATCCTATAGACATTCAATCGTTGAAGACATCCGTGTTTCCATAGAGCCATTCATTTGCCATACAACCCACCTGGAGAACACGAGCAGCCCTGGTTCATGAACTACGGTACCATGGGATCTGCGAACAAAACCAGATCTAGAGCCGCTGCAGAATCGTGGAATGCGCGGAATCTGCCGAATCTGAAGTAAATCGCCCCTTCGAACTAGTGCCTTCACTGTTCGACCCTGTTCATTTATAAATGTTGACAGCGCTTCTGTAATAACCGACGCGCCGCAACCATTTCAACTACGTTCGCAATATTGCGAGAGATGGGATGCGTCCCACATAATTTTGCGTAACACTAGTTTGTGTTACCGAGATTCTGAATTTCATTCACACCATCGTCAGTCAAGCCCCCGACGACAGCGACATCGAACGTGACTTGGAGAAAGCTGTCTCTTCCCTATCTGCTAGGAATGAGCTTCTTGTGATCGCAGATGGCGACCTCTCAGTGTTCGCTTTTTATGACCAGCATAAAAAGGCCGAAGGAACTCAAGACCCAATCTTAGCGGCATTCCTCAAGAAAAAGGAGAAAGAGAGCGATAAACCGCACAAAGGTTGGAAGATGACTCGATTTGAGCCATATGATAGGAACAAATTCCTCCATTCGGAACCAGAGAGCGGCTTGGGCTCGCACTTTCTCTTTCACGCCCCAACCCTCGCCTTTTTTCCCTAGGATGAAAAGGTAAGGCACCAGAAAGGAAGGCAAGGCGTCTGCAAGAAACGCCTCCTCAAGAGACATGGTCGCCTCGGCATACGTCATTCCGGCTATTCCTGGTTGCTGATGGCCCCCTACCCACCCTATTTAAATTGGTGCTCATTAACACCTCATACATAAGCAAATGGTAAAGGCGGGCATTAATTTAGGTTGAGTAAAGTCGAGCATTGAATTTAGGTCCCAAATGGAAGGCATGAGTCCGAGGCCATTTCGACAGCCAGAAGCGCAGGCAGGGAGGAGTTGGCACAAATAATCGTTGGATCAGCTAACAAGTCACTGGCTTTAGGGACAATCGCAGCCTAGTCTTCCATAAGGGAACGATTCCTTGATTTCTCAACAACTATGAACATCGACAAATCACATCTGGGAAAGATACGGAATCTTTTTCTGGCCCATCTTGATCAAAGAGAATCAGTTAGCTCTCCCATTGGCGGTAGCCGCGCTCAACTTCTTCTATCGGCACCTAGAAAGGGGAGAAGCGGAGCTCCAGAAGTTCCTCATTGATTTGGCCAAGAAGCAAACCCCTGCGATAAGGCACAAGGAAAAGGCTACCGATGAAGATGGCTATAGTACCGACGTGAAGTGGCTGCTTATCCCGAAATCGAAGACAGATCAGATAAAAAGGGGCACGACCGTGGCATTCAGAGTGCAGGACAATCGGATGGTTCTTTGGGATAAGCTCATGGGTCCAATAGCCGATGAACCAGACCGTTTTCTTTTTTCGACCGATTCGGCACATCCCGCGTCTTCCGACTCGTTGCGAAGACGGATAAATGAGGTTCTTCGAAGTTGCGGTATACAAGATAAAGGCCTAACATCGCATTCATTGCGGGGTGGAGCAGCAACGGCTGCTATGAGAAAAGGAGTTAAGTATGAAGATATACAGAGTAGGAGTAGGTTTTTAAGCCGTTATACAATGCGGTATCAACGTTAATTACATTATATTGCAGGGATGGAAGTCCTCCAACTCCATGATGTATTATTTGGAGCCAACGCCGATATAACGAGCACGAACGGCAATGGAGCGCCTGCGGATATGCAGGGATGAGACGTTTCTGGATCTCCATCGATGCTCGCTTTTTTGATTGGTCTCTATTATTAATTTCAAATCTTTTTTCTACCGGATCTCCACAACGGTCATGTTTCCATTCAACTCATGATATAGGAAGTTGGTCAATTCTGTTCAATTATTATTCCTGTGAGAAAATAATCCTCGATCATAGCACATTCAAAAGTTTGCGCTACCATAATCATATCTGACTGCATTCACATTTTATGCGATTGTAATTCACGTTTTCTAAATATCTGAGCCGCTGCCCCATTTCCGAAGCATGTGAATGTTGAGTGATGAAATACCAGGAATAAAGCCTTCGACCCCACGAGCCGAAGCGAAATGAATTTTTGACGAAATTCGCAGTCAAAACATCTATTTTATTTAAAGGACGAATTCACGATGAAAAAGCAACCCATTTCAAATTAACCTAGGGATGGTGAGTGGTACACGAAAGAAGGAAGAACCATGAGAAACGGCCCAGAACCCGAGAAATGGGACCCCTTCCTTGCCCGTTGATTCGAGCATTGATGCGA